TGACTTTTTATGCTGTGGGTAGAAGATTTATGCCTGAGTTCAAAAAGATCTCCCAGAACCAATAGTGAAGACACCAGAGTAACATTCAACTATTTCTAAAAGATTAGAAACTCACTGATGCAAGACAGTCAGACATTTTTAAAATAGGAGCAAGCCTAAGGATGTCACCTTTAAAGGGGAGAGATACCTGGCTCCTAACCCTGACTCCAGGGCAAAAGCTAAAAGAAATGCTTCTTTATGTAAGGCAATACTAAAACTCCTCTAAAACCAGAAAATTTGAACTGTTTTACATAACATTGAGAATACTCAAAAATTTTGTAAATAATAGATTTTTCATTAACTCTTACGGGAGGGGAGGGCAAAATTAACCACCAAATTTTGTTTACAATTAATTCTCTAAGTGTTCACTTTTAAATCATGATACCTACTGAACAACATTTTTCCTAAATTACTCTTGAGGCAGAGTTCTAGGGGAGATTATTACTAATATACTGAGAAAAGTATGATGACCAAATAACGTAAGCATATAAACTTCCTATTACAGCATGAAAACACGAAAAAGCTTTAGAGTCTCAGAAGTTTTTCCAAGCAACACATAAGCCATAAAGAAAATTGACAAACTGACAAAAAAAATTGAAATTCTACACAGATTTTTTTAAAAATGCACCATGAACAAACTCAAAAGACAATGAAAAATAGAAGCAAGAGCTTCTCTACATTGGATATTGTGAGCATAAGACAAAAGGCTAATTTTCTATTATTTAAAAAAAATCCTTGAAATGATAAGGAAAATAAAAGTCTAATCAAAAAAAAAAAAGGAAAATGGCAGACCGGCAAATTCACAGAAAAAAAGAAATATAAATGGTTTTTAAAAGTAAGCTTCTTATTACAGGAATTTCCAAATGCTTACAAGTTACAAAGTGATACAATGAGCACCCATATATATATCACTCTATTTCAAAAATGAAACACATGGTCAATTTGTTTCATTTATCCCAATCCACTACTTCCTCCTAAGATTATTTTAAAAGCAAGCTCCAGACACCATAACATTACAAATAAAAATGCTTTCAATAGGTACTTTTTAAAATATATCTATTTTACATCATTGCCTTAGAAAATTAACAATTCCTAATAAGGTTCAAATCTTCCCCCAACTACCTCAAAATATATCTTCTTACATGCTGATCTCCAAACAAGACCCAAAACTAGTCACTGCATATGGCTGATCTGTCTTTGACTCTCTTCGCAAATGCCACCTCCCTATTTGTTTTTCTTCTTGTCATTTGCCTGTAAAATTTCCAACATTTTGAATTTTGCTGATTGTAGCCCTATAATCATTTAATATTTTTTGTTATTGATATTGTTGCTCAAATTGTTCTACCTCTGGTGTCCTTCAGCCAAAGACCACCAGGAATATACACAGTGAGGAATAATGGAGCATCTGAGTTAAGAGGATGGTACAATCTATTCCAGGATTTGGGCATCGCTTTGGTAATTTGGGAAAGGTTTTAGGAAAAACCTTTGGATATTGTGAGAAAGTGGGACAATTCTATAACCGAGTATCTCAATTATTCTGATCTAAGCTGGGATACACTAAAAGAAAGACAAAGCAGCCATTAATGAAGAAGATCGCGCATTCAGGCTAAGTACTCTGTAGGCAGCACACTGATCTTAGTTTTGGTTTTGTCTATGCTTTGCCTCATTTTATCATGACCTGAAGAGAAAACTTGTCCAAGGTATTCTGTGAGACTCATCATGTTTACCAGGAGAAAACACGGCCTCACTGAGTGCAGGCCAGCTTCTGAACGGCAGGGCTGGTTTTTACCTTTCTCACTAAAAACAGAACCCCTTTGTGTTGTCACTGTGTCCTTTTGAGAGGACCAAAAGTCTTAAAAATGTTTCCTTGCTTTCCACTGCAAGATGTTCCAGATTACTCCTATTCACTTTCCTGTTCCAAACCTAAAATCAGCCACTCCTCCAAGGGGCCTTGTTTCCTTTCAATTGAAATCACTATTTGGAAACCAAAATCCAGTCCCAAGATAGTCACTATTCCCAGATTGTCATTACAACCTGGAGTGAGCTATAAGAATTCTTTAGCAGGAAAACTATATCACTATACTGGCATTTCCCTTTCAAATTTAGGATTACAGGATTTTTGGATAATTTGATTTCATATTTGCAACTCTTTTCTCTTGTTAAAAATCTTAGTTCCTATTAATGTTAGTCTAAATACATAATAATTTTTTCTTTAAATTTTTAAAATTTTATAAAACATTTGTTTCCAAAGCACAAAAAACAAAACGTGTCAGGAGCACAACTACTATTTCTTCTCTCCTTATTCTTTCTCTTTCTCCACAGTAGCTGCTTTTTAGTTTTTGGTTTATACTTCCTGTTTTCTCTTTATAGATATCAAATAAAAGACATTTATCCGCATCCCCCACTACCTAGAAAACAGGTCAAATATGATACATCTTGTCCTACACCATGATTTCTTTCACTAACAACACAGCTTGCAAATAAATTGGCTCAGCTTCATCCATTAATAAAATGCAAATTGAAATTATTAAACTGACATTTTTCTGCCACATATTAGCCAAATTCAAAGAGTCAGAAAATGCACTAGATGGGCTGGGGATGTGGCTCAAGCTGCAGCGCGCTCGCCTAGCATGCACAGGGTGCTGGGTTCCATCCTCAGCATCACATAAAAATAAAATAAAGATGCTATGTCCACCGAAAACTAAAAAATAAATATTAAAAAAAATTCTCTCTCTCTCTCTCTCTCTCTCTCTCTCTCTCTCTCTCTCTCTCTCTAAAAAAGAAAGAAAATACACTGGGTTAGTAAGAGTATGAAAGAGAAAAAAAAGCATATCAATTTGGCATTATCTATCAGAATTTAAAACACATATTCACCCTTCAGCTCACCAAGTCCACTTTTAGTGGTTTATCCTGCTGCACAAACTGGAATGCCTGCCTGGATATTTACTGCAACAATGTATACAGTAACAGAAGACAAGAAACATCCTTAACTTAGATCAACAGGGGAATTATTAAATCAATGATGGTATAACCACAGAATAGAATATCATGCAATTTTTAAAATGAAGTAGATCTACATACATCAATATGGAATACTCTACAAGATATATTGCTAAGGGAAAAATGTAAGAAAAAACTATGTATTTGAATATGCCTATGCACATAAAAATAAAGAAATCTCTAATTCATATGTTACAAATAATTATATATAGACATATATATATATATATATAACTGGCACCCGGAAAAGTTGCACAACCATGACAAAACACACACACACACACACACACACGGATGACTGCTAGAAACCTATGTAATTAATTAGTAATAGGCAATGCCTTAGGGGTAAGAGGCTCACTTTTCATTTTTTACCCTTTTATAAAACTTTTTAAATTTATTATTTGTGGTACATAGTATTAACTTTTTGATTAAGATATTTTTTTAAAAAATTCTTCATAAATAATTAAAAGAACTTGATTAAACAAAATGTCAACGTAATGCTTTCCAATGTTCTTAGTTTGGAATCTGCCAGTGCTTCTGTAATATCAGGTTCAGTACAAGTTGGCCCTACCAATTGCCTCAAGTAACACTACAATTAACTGTGTAGAAAAACAACTCTCAGTACCTTCATTTGCAGACAGATCATGCCTGAATGTTTTGATGGTGAAGACTAGTCAGTCTTTAAAGAACAATACAGCTTGTACTCTTCAAAGAATAATACATCTCTAAAAGACCAGTAACTGAAAATGAACACCGACATGAAGTTCTTACGTTAATACAATGATTTATTTTTGCTCAATTATGAATGACTGAATTTATTCCAGAAACCATTTAACCACTAATTATAACATACAACACTTACATATAAATGAAATGTACATTATTGTTAGGCATCTATGTAGCAGGCTGTACATTAATTTAAACATTATCTCAATTTTTTACAGTAACTATAGAACATAGGCGTTATTATACTGACTGTACACAGAAGGAAACTGTCCATAAGGGAAACTGAATAATTGTCCATGGCCTCACAACCACTAAACAGCAAGGCCAAAGTTCAAAATATATGTATGCAAAGTATGATTTTTGCAAAAATGCCCTTTTCCTAATTAAAAAACACATATTGTAAACAGATCATTTGCAAAACTAAAAGTCTTAAGGTGGTAAAATATTTGCTTTAATTACTAATAATACAGCCAAAATTATAATTGCTATAGAGTATAAAAAATAAAACAGAAATATTTTCACATTATTATAAACACATATCTCACAGCCTAACTCTACTAAGTAAAATTAGTATGACTTTTAAAGATTAAAAGAACAAAAGCAATAAATCACTGAAATAAGTCTTCAAAAATATGTTTTAAGTTGCTTTTTAAAATGGGTTAGCCAGGCGTGGTGGCATATGCCTATAGTTCCAGCTACTAGGAACGCTAAGGCAGGAGGATCACTTAAGTCCACAAGTTGAGACCAGATTGGGCAACAGACACTCCATGTTGATATGTGTGTGTGTGTGTGTGTGTGTGTGTGTATACAAAATCAGTTTGAAAAAACTTGATATTATAAACCACTGCAGGATATGGGGGAGGGGGGTTAGAAAATATTACATATATAAAAATAGTGCCTTTAATGAGACTATCTTCTTGGTTCCAGTGCAAAACCCTGAAGATTCTAAAGTCAGTTTCTTCTGTAATATCAGCATCTGAATGATGGCATTTTTATTAACACTTTTTACTAAATGGTCCAGACAAAATCAACTACTCAACAATCTAATCTGCCTACATGCAAAAGAAGTAAGATAAAAGTCTCAGCACTGGGGCACGTTAAGAGCACTGAGCATACACATCCCTGTATGTATTTCACAGCACTAAAGACACTGTATTGCCACTGGCAGTATATCTGTCAGTCTCTTTTGACATATTTTGTCAGAATCTGGAAATTGGGAATCCTGTCTTACTCACCTTGGTATCTCTTGAGTCTAACATGATGAGAAACAAACGGATATTTCCTAAGAATGGGCTGAATTAAAGTCATGGTCCAGGTCCACCTCCTATGAATTCAGACAAGACCCAACTTCTCCAGGTCTTTTTTCTTAACCTGTAAAATGAGAAGCTTAGATTACAGTCCAAGCCAGGCATTTTACCGGTTTGTAGGGAAAGGTACAGTTCAGTTTAGAACTGGTAGGAACACAAAGGATGTACTTTTCTAATCTAAGATAATCTACAATCACATTTGTTGCCAATGGAAGGTTTGGGAATTCTTTTAACCCTCCTGCTCACTATAGAATGACAACTCCCTGAACACAATAGAAGAAAAAAATAAAGAAAAAAATGTTTTGAGTTAAAGATAAATCAAAGTGAACATCAAAGGTTGAATTCAATAATAAAAATAATTCAATTTTTAAATGGGCAAAAGGATTTGGATAGACATTTCCCCAACAGAGATAAGCAAATGGCCAATAAGAACCAAAAAGATTCAAACTCATGAGTCATTAGGGAAACAGAAATCAAAAACAGGAGATACTACTTCATACCCAGGTATAAACAAAAAGGCAGACAATAAATAACAAGTATTAGTAGCATCTGTAAAGATCAGAATCCTTTACACATTATTAGTGAGAATGTCAAATGGTGCAGCCCACTTTGAAAAACACTTCATTAGTTCCCAAAAGTTGAACCCAGAGTTATGAGAATACACATCTAAACAACAATTCGTACTCAAAAGTTCATAGCAGCATTATTTACAATAGCCAAAAAATGTAAGCAACCCAGCTTTCCTTCAACTGACGAATGGGTAAATAAAATATGATATATCCGTACAATGGAATATTATTCAGCAGTAAAAAAAGAAATTAAGTCCCAATATATGATAGAACATGAATAATCTTAAGAATATGTTAAATTAAAGAAGCCAACCATAAAGGATCACAAAGTGTATAATTCCAATTATAAGAAAAATTTCCAGGATAAATTTATAGATAAAAATCAGAAAGTGGATTCTTAGGAATGTAAACAGGGATAAATGGATGGTGACTGCTAATGGGTAGGGGTTTCTTTTAGCACTGATGAAAATATTCTGAATTTCATTATAGTGATCACAAGATACTAAAAACCACTGAACTGAAACTCTTTAATAAATAAATTGTATGATATGTGAGTTACATCTCTTTTTTTTAAGTCAATGAAAGGAAAAATGTAATATCAAGAATAACAAAGGAAGGAACACCAGCTACATTAAGTAGTATCATTCTTTGGAAACCAATCTAGACCTATTGAAAGAAAGTAAGAAGTCACCACAAAGCAGGATGCTAAGAACACAAAAGCAGCAGCAAATGATAGATTTTCTGTTATTCATCTGGCTCCTGATTTACCCTTCTCAAGGACCTAGCATGCAAACCTGACACAGAAATTTATAAGGAATGCCACTTTCCAGGAGCAAATATTAAAGATGGGAGAGAGAATTTGTCAAGATTAGAGCTCATTGATCATGAATGACTTCTGCTTATTCATGAACTCCACATTTCGTCTATGATTCTTATAAGTTCAAATAAGAAACTAAAGGAAACAAAAAAATAAAATGAATAGCATGTACAGATGACTTTCAAAAATGAAACTGGTGTCCTCATTCATAAATTGCTAACACAGAATGATGAGCTCCTCCTAACAAAGGACAAGAGTACGTGTGCCAGTAAGATGAAAAGAAGATGCCTGAACAGAGATTAGTCAACATGTCCTTCATAAGCCACTAAGATATGGATGCATATTCATACCAAGATAATATAAACCTGAGAAATATCATAAATACATTAGAAAATAGAATTCAGATACAAGATTCTAACAAGTCTCAATAATACTGCAAAACTAGGTACAATGATCTAGCAAATCCAAGTCAGAGTGAAATCAGAAAACATTCCATCCAAATTCTTCAATTTACAGATGAAGCTGAGGCCAGAGGGATTTAATAACATACCCAAATTCAGAAGGCTCAATAAAGGTAACTGAAAGCTGAAAATAAAAGAATCCTAACTCCCAGGCTGTGTCCACCTGGCCCAATGCAACCTGCTACACTTGTACAGATTAAGTGTGTCAATTAAAAAGAAAGAAAGAAAAAAAAAAATCCTGACCCCTACTTTACACCAAAGTCAATTCTAGAATTCCTAGAAACTTACACCTAAAAGTGAAAGACAAAATATAAAGCATCTAGAAACAAGTGAATATTTTCATAACCATGAGGTAGCAAAAACTTAAGTGGAACACTAAAAGCACTAACCATAAAGGAAAAGATTAATAGAAATCAATTAAAATATAGAATTTCAGTTCATCATAAACACATTACAAGAGTAAAACGGTAAGCCACATAAAAGAGGGCTTTAGAATTCACATATTCAACAAAAGATTGTATTCAGAATGTACATAAAGTCTAACATTTTGATATGAAAAAGGACAGAAAACCTGAATTGTTTAAAAAGGTGGGGGGGTGAGCAAAAGCTGAATACTTTTCAACAGCGGAAATATAAATGGCTAACAAATACATGAAACAAGGTGCTCAAATCATAAATCATGAGGAAATGTTAATGAAAATCACACTGAGATCTTCTATACAACTGTTAATATGGTTTTAAAAGGGTTTTTAAAATTGCTTAGCTGACAGTTTCAAGTAGAGGCGAGGCTTAAGAGCAACTGAAATTCTTTATGTTGGGAGGAATATAAACTGGTACAACCACTTGGGAAAACTGGCAATATCTATCAGTGTCTACTAAAGCAAAAGATATTACAGCATACACTATGATCAGCTGTTCTACTCCTAGATATACACCCAACTAAAACTAATATGTGTACCAAAGACATCAACATACTATAATTACTTTAAAAAGGTTACCAAAACTATTAAGTAGAATTATTCATAATTATCCAAGTATTAACTATTTCAATATCTATCTGCAATAGAATGGATAAATCGTGGTATATAATTTGTGGTGGTTTTAAAAAATAGCCACAAATTCTTTGGTACAACTTCCTAATGCTGGGCAGTCTATGTTCTCTTTCCTTGAATCCAGGCAGGCTGTGTCTATTTCAATCAAGAGTGTGACACAAGTGACCTTATGACTCTGAAGCCAAATCATCAGGAAGATATCTCTGGGAACTCAGCCAAAATGCTGTGAAAAGCATGGCCTCATGGCCCCCATGAAGGTTACTCCAGTCAACAAACCTGGATGATCCTGGTCTTCAAGACATCCCAGTCAAGATACTAGAAACAGGAGTGATGGAGCCTCTAACTCATTCTAGACCCCAACCATTGTAGAGCAATGACAAGCCATCCCTGCCAAGAATTCATGACAAAATGTTTTTTACACCACTAAATTTGGAGTGGTATGTCATGCAGTAATCAGTAACAAAAGTTAGTGTGTTTGGCAGTAACTGATGAACAGACTACAAAAATAACATGGGTAAATCTCAGACAGAACAATGAATGGTAGGAATCTTGCAAGATTAGGACAAAGTATATATTACCCCATTTACATGAGTTCAGAACCAGACAAAAGTAATCTATAGTTAAGAAGTCAGAACAGTGGTTACCTTGGTGGAAGTTGCACTGGAAAGGAGCACAAAAGAGGTGTCTGGGTGCTAGAATAATCAATATTTTGATCTGGGTAGTGGTTATTATAGTGTTGAGTTTGCATTTTTTGTTATATTTCAAAAAATGTTTTAATCAGAAGAATCTGGTAATCAAATAGATGCAAATGTGTGAGGAAGAAATGAAGAATGACTCCAAGCCTCCAGGCACGGAGACTAGGTACTGTCATTAACTCAAAAGTTACACAATTGTGGCAAATAAATACAGGAGCGAAAAGCAACAATCATGTCCTGTTCATTTTGTATTTCACTATCTACCAGTCCTTAATCCAAGTCATTCCAAGATATTCCTCTCATTTTCATACTACCTCTATGACCACCCCTTCTTGGTGACCTACATTGCCTCCTCTCTGTCCAGTTGCCTTTTTAATTTCAGGACTTCCCACCCAGGCTTCTCTCCTCAATTCTCTTTTCAATCTGCACACCTAAACATGTGGATATTCTTTTATCCCCCATAATTCCAATCTCAGCTGGTACAACTTCCATAATTCCAAACTCAGCTGATGACATCATCACATACTTGTTCTTTTAAGCTACAAATTTCTAATTTGATCAGGAACCAGAATTCCAAAATATCTTAAAAAGTTGAGTTAGGCCCGGCACAGTGGTGTACGCCTGTAATCCCAGTGGCTCAGGAGACTGAGGCAAGAGGATTAAAAATTCAAAGCCAGCCTCAGCAAAAGCAAGGCACTAAGCAATTCAGTGAGACACTATCTCTAAATAAAATACAAAATAGGGCTGGGGTTGTGGCTCAGTGATTGACTGTCACTGAGTATAATCCCCAGTAACCTTCCCCAAAGAAAAACTGAAATTAGCCAAATCCATTAAAAATAATATAAGATCATAAATATAAGCTCCCATGCCTGTGACCTAAAACTAATGCAGAACAGCAGGATGAAGAGACATCTTAGTCAGGTTTTATTCAAGTCTAGGCTCAATATATGGTATGGTCATCCAAATAATGTAGCTGATATTAATAAAAATACAATATGTAGAAAAAGGAAGGCAATATTTTCCCCAGAGTAACCGAAGAAAAGTGCAATATCTAGAATAAGAGATGCAACTCCGTTTTTTTTAATATCAAGTCATGCATGGAGTACTGTTCTCAATTCTAAGCACTATAACTTAAAAATGGAATTTTAGGGCTGGGGATGTGGCTCAAGTGGTAACGCACTTGCCTGGCATGCACGGGGTGCTGGGTTCGATCCTCAGCAACACATAAAAATAAAATAAATATGTTGTGTCCACAGAAAACTAAAAAATAAATATTTAAAAAATTCTCTCTTTCTTCTATCCCTCTCTCTCTCTCTTTAAAAAAAAAATGGAATTTTAAAATATAGAAAGCCACCAGTGTGGTGAACCAACATAAAACCATGTCATGTAAGGAATAGCTAATGAACTGAAGATGTTTCACCTCAGAAAGATTGAGAACACTTGATGACTTTTCACATATTCAAAAGGATG